CCTATATAATATGCACTGTTGCTTAGTATTAAAATTATAGCTTCAGATGCATGAAATTTGTAGGGCCCTATGAAATCCGTTTAATTTTTCCCAAATTAGCCTAGGTTTTATTTTTTCCAAAATCTTTTTTTCCGTTTTAATTTTTCTGGATTCAGTTTTTTTATTTTTTTATTTTTTTTTCTTCGTATTAATTTTTCTGGATGATTATATTAAATTTTAACAAAAAACATGTCTAATTAATTAAAATCATGAAACATGTTTAATTTAACAGCAATTTAGGCCTATTAAAAGTTTAAAATTTTATTTACTTATTTTTTAGAAATTCTGTGTTGTGTGTATTCATTTTTCTGGTAATCAAATGAAGGCGAAAACATTAATCTATCTTTCATTCCAATGAAAATTAAACAAACCCATTGATTTTTTTACATTCAAAATGCTACACAAGTTTACTGTGTAACGAGCAATGTCACGGAATTCGTCAAATATTGAATGAATAAATCAAATGCAATTCAGTACACTTCAATCAAACCGCGATATGGACTAGTGTATGTGAATATTAAATGGAAATAATACTATTTAGCTACTACAGACGACAACCGCGAGCGTTGCTCGTGCAATAGCAAACGAAATGCGCGTCTGCGCCGTTCATTCCGTCACATTCCGCGTTACACAGTAAATTCCGTTTTTATGAATAGATTCCGGGATTCCGTCCCCATTTTCTACATCGCCCTACTTTTGCTAAGAAGCACACGCGGACGCGCTGACAGTTGTTGTGGTAATGAACACCACAGCAACCACTTGTGCGTCCGCACTGAACGCGCATCTCGCATATAAAAAGCATTTTAGGGGGCCCTTGGCTTTTGGGGGCCCAAGGCGGTCACCTACCTTTGCCTAATGGTTAAGTCCGCCCCTGATTATGCTAAGGATGCACTGTATCGTTGCCACATTGGTAATGTATTTGTAGATTGGTAAATTTTGCATATGATATTTGATTTAATTCCATATTTGTACATTTAAATTGCCTTTGCTGTTATCGAACAGTAAGCGATAATCTAAATGAAAAAATGGGGGAAAGTTAATCTTTAAAAACACTAAACAATTTATTAACACTACTTAATGTAATCTTTAGCAAATATCAAGTAAAATATCGTTTTTCAAACTGTACATTCTGTTGTGATGCCTTAATTCAAAATAGTTTTTAACAGTATAATTTTAATATTGGCCATTTATCAGTTATCGGTCATAAAATGAAAATAACTCTTGGCTTATCATTATCCTTCATAATTTCAATATCAATACATTCCTAGAAGAAGAGAAGAAAAGCTATGGTGCACTCAATTCAAGCCTGTTCTTAAATGGAGTTTCAGATCTGTTGAGCACGTATATCTTTTTTGGTTTGAATTAGCATGAATGTAATTCTTTTTGTAATTGTCAAACTGAAGTAAGTAAAGGGGGGGGGCAATTGTTCAAAAAATAGATTCTTTGTGAACTTCTTGTTTAATTGAGGTTGGCTTCTGAATGTTTTTCAATTTAACCAGGTGCCTTATTTGCTGGAATTAAAGAAGTCACCCAGTGTCCTGTTTGCTGGCATCGACCGACCCGATGATGTGGTGAACTTCACTCACCAAGAGCTTTTTGCTAAGGGAGGCTTTATAGTATGTGATGAATTGGCTCTCAACACACTTACTCCAGGTACTGGTCAAGTTGCCACACAAATTATGCATGTTGTTATACTGAAGATGGACTGATACATTATGACATTTTCATTGGACTTATTCTGTAAAATTTATATGAAGACGACATGAAAAAAGTTGTTGGGATTCTGGAGGAGTTAGACAAGCAAGGGAAATGGAAATGGCTTCTACACTACAGAGACAGTCGCAGACTTCGGGAAAATGCAAGGTATCAAAAATCCTTTCCCACCGCTGGATGTGTGGGCCTTCAAGGACTGATCCTCATTGTGTTTATACAAAAGCTACGATTAGTTAGTATTTGCTTACTCAGTTATGGCATTGAATCTCACTCCCCTCTAATGTCCTCGACAGGTCCAGTCCTGAAGCAAGTAAGAAACAGCAGTTTATAGATTGCTGTCAGAAAGCTGGCATAGTCGAGGTCTTGCCCTATCATGACTGTGATGTCATGTCACGGGACCGACCCGACTATCTCTTTTGTTTGACTCGACTTCAGATCCAAAACGCTTCTGTTCGGTTTCCTGTGTTTATTACAGGTAAGAGTTTAGATTTTTGTGAGAAGTACTGGGTACTCAAGTTGGAGTACTATGAATAACATTTATGAATAACATTTAATTTAATACTTTAAGAATTACAATAACCCAATACATTTTTTTTTGCAAAACGTTAAAAAAAAGTTATTTACATTTATAAAATATATTAATTTGACCGGTTTCCTATGTTTATTACTGGTGAGAGTCTACATTTTTTTTTGTTTTATTAAAGATTTATTTTAGGCGTTTTTGCCTTTTATTGATAGGATAGTAGTGAGACAGGAAGCGAAGTGGGAGAGAGAGGGGGGATGGGATCGGGAAAGGTCCGCGAGCCGAGACTCGAACACGGGACGCCCGAAGCGCAATTGCGCTACATGTCGACGCACTGCCCACGAGGTTATCGGTGACGACGAGAGAGTCTACATTTTTGTGAAAAATTCACAGGGCTAGTTTACATCAGTTAATATCAGCCTATCGAACTGAATAATTCAATAATTAAAAATGAATAATATTTAATTTAAAAATTTACCATAACCCAATACATTTTTGCTAAACATCATTAAAAATATGTATATTTAAATATATAAAATATATTAATTTTACACCTTACATAAACTTCCTTTGTGCCCATAATCTTCACACTCACCAGATGGGCAAGCTTTGATTTTAATTGCACTGCAAAATGATCAAATCATACAGTTAACCTGTATTCTGCGCAGACATGTTTACAAGTCCCTAAAGTCCAAGTCAAGTCTTTGTTCATTTTTTTTTAGAAAATAGGCAAACAATTATAATTTATTGATATTAAAAGTAATAGTAGTATGCCTAAAACAGTAATATATTACTATTGTAATACAGCTGAACTGTAAAGTAAATGTAAATTAAAAATGAGTCATTTATAATACATATATTATTCAATTTTACAATAGGAAAATTCTAATATTTTTATCTTAATTTCTTCACTTGCAAGAGTTAAATCCTTGAGTTGTAATTTTGGGCAGAAACCTGCAGATTTCAGGGAAAACAGGTGACAAATGCTTCTCATTACAGATCTGGTGAAATACGGTAATCATCTGTCCACAAAAATGTTTGAAATTATACGAATGTGAAGATAATGTGCAACTGGTGGCCATTGCGTTCCTAAATGCACATTAAACTCACAGCACATGCAGAGATGGGAGTTGCAGTCACCTGAACTGTGTTGGACATGGCAAAATGCATGCAGTGCAAAAGATATAATTATTTAATCAACTCGCAGCCTTTTCGTAATTTGATAAGGGAACTAAGCCATACCGGGCTTTCGATTTAATTCGTTTGACAGATGCTTTGCCAAAGCATTAATTCTTATAATAGCACTTTTCCAATGGGCGTCAGATGCATAACACGTGTACAGTATATAATAATGCTGGCTCGGTGTGTTTATAGATGAATTGTTGTGATATTTGACGCTGCAGCGCATATAATGAATATAAAAATACGGCGTTTAATGAGAGAATATAATCGGCAGTGTCTTCGTCAAGTCTCGAGTCCAAGTCAAGTCGCAGACTCGAATTTCCATCTCTCATTCTGCTATCCACTATAGTCTTGTGGTTACACATTACGGCTGGAAAGAACTAGTGAAGACTTGTTTCCTGTTATTTTAAGTTTTATTTCTCTTTCTTGGTTTCTGGTTGCTTTCTTGCTTTGTCACTGAGAGCATAATCAGACAGACTGATCTTTAGCTCTTGACCAGGTTGTAGGTTTGGTCTGAAAGTTATAAAGGTGAGACTCTACAGGCAAAAGCACTGTTTTTTCATGCAACTGGTTGAAAGAAAACATCCAAAATACACTTTTAAGTGCTTCTTTTGTAGCACTTTATCTATTTGCAGCTGTGGATTTTAATCCATATTTTAAAGGCCATTTTCTCAAAGTGAGATTTTTCTTCTGCACTGAGGCAAAAAATCTCCACTTCAGCCTGAATTCAGTCTGGTAATATTGAGAATATGGCATTATCATATCAAAAGTTTAATTTCCTATATATAATCTGTCCCACCATATAAAATATGATGACTGCTGCTGATATCTGAGGTTATTTCATCTTGCACTTACTAGTTGTACGAAGAAAAGATAATATGCCTCACTGTAGTCTATAGCCGACCTTTTTCCTTCTTTAAATTAAACATTTTAAATTCATTTTAACAGTTGTTATTATTAATGTTATACAATTATCAAAATGAAATAATGCTTAATGTAATTATTTACATTCTTCTGTGAACAATGCATAACATGACTCGATTTAGGGAATATGAGAATATGTTGTGATAATTTTTACCTTTTGTTTTTTTTTTTTTGTGTTGCAGACACACCAACGGAATCTTTTGGAACAAATGGAATTTTAACAATGAACATTTACACATTCTCACGGATCCTTTCAAACGATACTTGTTCTGTGTCATAAATTTGTGGGGGTTTTTTTGTTTTGTTATTTTTATTCAAAATCCAATATCTTACCATTGGTAAGTACACCTTTGTTAATAGAAATAATTTATTGTTTATCATAAATGTTAAAGCATTTATCTTTGTTACTCGTATGTAATTGCTTACAATTTATAAGCTTTTCACTGAGAGCTTTCCAGTTTATAATACAATGGAAATGTACAAATGTAGGTAATGAAAATGTTTTAGTATGTTTTAACCTGACGTCATTTTTTTATAGATGAAATTTGACTGAAACTCTAATAAATAAGCTGATTTAATATGGTTGTCATTATTCAGCTTTGTGCATTTAAAACATATTATATCATAATTTATATACACAGCATATTCTTGTATCTATTGTGGGTGTTAAGATGTAAAAATTCAAGCAATGTTTATTTGTGTAGTTTTCACAATAGATGTAATACATAAAAATGTAGGAAGAAACTTTGATTATAATGTGTTTAGCTACTAACATGTGCCTATGTCTTCTGTATGATTAGTCTACTAGACTTTTGGCTCTGCTCTGAAAAGGTTTAACATACAGATAATAGTGCATCATTAGTTATAATTATAGGTTGTTATCATCCATTTAGTGTTCATTGTTGTTCTGGTAGTTCTCCTTTGTAAGAGTCTAAATGTATTCCAAACTTGTTTGATATATTCTCACTTGATACGGTTAAAAAACAAATCTAAGGAAGGGAAAAACAGTCAAGGTAAGCTACTTCCTTATAGATTCTGGTTTGTATTTTACTTAAAGTTACTTCAGTAAGACCTGTTTCCTTTTATTTTATTTTCCATATTTAGTGCATTAGCATTATTATGTACACACAAAGTAGGCAATTTAAGTAATAGTATCCTTGACTCATTTAAATCACTATTTTGGCTTAGCAAATTTTTCATTCCATGTAAGAGCTGGTACAGGTATCAGGTAATGGTAGCTGTGCCAAAGGCAAAGCATTAACAAAGCAAGTACAAACCTGCCAAATTTAACAACCATCCAACTGTACCTTCTGAAGAACAGGTATAAGATTTCAGCATTGCCTATGTTTTTTTTTTTTAAGTCAGGTTTTGAATTTTATAGAGTATTTTAAAAATACGACTAGAGGCATGTTTATTTACATGCACAAATGTTTTTATTAAATATTTTGTTGAACTATTTGACAAAGACAAATTTTAAAAAAGATTGTGATGGAGTATTTTATTTGAAGTTTATGCATATTGTTATAAAATCCAAGTTGTGCATACACTATATTACCAAAAGTATTGGGACGCCCTCTTCTAGTGAACAGGCTTGACTACTTTAATAATTTCCATGAGTACAAATCTTAATGCTTATGCATATAATGATATTCTAGGGAATTGTGTGCTTCTAATTTTATAGCAACAGTTTGGACAGGACACTTTTCTATTCTAACATGACAATGCATCTGTGTATATAGGCAAGGTTCAAAAAGAAATGATTGATTCAGTCAGTGTGGAAGAACTGCAGAAAGCAAAATCCTAATCCCAGCTGAACACCTCTGGTGTGACTTTATAAATGCAGACCTTGAGCCAAAAACTCATCACCAAACACCAATGACTTGTACATACAGTATATAGACAAAAGTATTGGGACACCACCTTCTTTAGAACAGAAAAAGGCACTTCCAAAACTGGCAACAAAGATGGAAACATAATTCTTGTATTTCCATCTCTGTTGCAACAGTTTTGGAAATGTCTAAAATAACGGTGCCCATGTACAAGTCATTGGTGTTTGGTGATGTGTTTTTGGCTCAAGGTTTGCATTTAAAGTCACATGCCTTATACACATAGCCTATGCATTGTCATGTTAGAATTGAAAAAGGGTCCTGTCCAAACTGTTGCTATAAAATTCAAGCACACAATTCTCTAGAATATCATTAGCCTATATGCTTTAACATTAAGATTTATGCAAATGGTAATTACTAAAGTAGTCAACCTGTTTATTAGAGGGGGGTGCCCCAATACTTTGGGCAATAAATAGTGTATTTTACCATTTCACAATTAAATACATAGTTGTGATTAGAGTGCATATCAAATACGTTTAGAATAGATCCACAATCTGTAAGAGGCGTTGACTGTTTTAAACGAATTTTGCATGGTTACAATGAATTTTAAAAATGTAAACGTTATTTTGAGGGCTTCATCGGTCGAGGTTGATCTCGCGCACTCCAGATTGTCATTTGTCGCCATTCGCACAGTTTTCATCAAAACGCGTAAAAGTTTTTGTGATATGATACTTTTCTCAATGTAAAAAACAAACTGGTGGCGGTGGAAAGCGCCGGAGCAGCGAGCTGTTGCTATGGATACCACGTCAGATGATTCGCGGTCTGACCAAACTAATCTAACTTTATAACGTCCGACAGATGCTTCAATGTACTTTTAAAAGTGTTAAAACTTAAAAGTACTCGTATAAAAACAACTGGTTTCGCACGCTCTTGTCAAACCCTCGCCCATTGCGTCGTTTCTGACACGGCATCTGCTGGGTTCCGCTTTCCGCATGTGAAAAAAAAAAATAAAGACCCATTACCGGATGCGTTTAATTTTGGTTTTAACTCAACTTGCTGTCAACCCGGAAAGAGGCTGGGCTCGGGGCACAGGGCTCGGCTTTCGGCGCGGAGCTTTCATCTGTTTTCTCGGATAAATGAACGCACGTTGTGTGTGTATTGTGTTCTGAGAGAGCGCTGAATAACACACACACACAGCAGAACCTGGATGAGTCACCAGCCTTTGGGATTTTGGAAGTGAAGTAAGTTAATATTAGGTGTGGCAGTACCGCAATACCGACTTCCTCTCATACTCATAATACCGTTTTCCATGGGAGTTCATGAAAACCTGGTCCAGGTGAACCACACCTGAATCCACCTGTCATGGACCCTCTGGAAACTTGCTTTTGCTTCGCTTATGCTGGGTTTACAGGATTCCCACGCTCATGAAAACGTTTACTTTAAACTTTTAGTCATTGATTTTTCAAGCTATGCTCAGCTCTACTATTTGTATCGCTTAGACATTACTCTTTGTAAGTGTAGCCTTTATAAAATACATTTTAGTTATTATCTAATCACGAGCTAGCCTACTTGAATAGTCATGAATTCATTTTTCATAAGATGTGGGAACCCTGGATCTATTATTGACAGAATAAAGACAAAAATTACCATATTCTAATGAGTACTGATAGATACTGATTTATTATTATAAGGCTATTTTCGTTGTTCCATTTTTTGTAAATAATCTTTTATAAAATATATTTATATCTGTGTTTGTAGGCCTATATAGGAAAATATATGCGCGCACACACATGTATGCTGCGATTTCTAAATAATCGCAAATTAATTTGGCTGTGAAAATACCCCCAAAAGATAATTTAAAGCTGTTATCATGTTACATTTCTAGGGTACATTGGCCTAACATAGAGTATGGAAAATAAAAAAAGATAATTTGAGAAACATCTCAGTATTGTTTGTTCATGCAATGAAAGTCACTAGTGACCAAAACAGCGTAGTTACCAACAGTATTCAAAATACCTTCTTTTATGTTGTGCAAAAGAAAGTGAGTCATTCAGGTTTGAAACATCATGCAGGTGAGTAAATAATGACAGAATTTATTTATTTATTTTTGGTGAACTATCCCTTTAATGTTTTATTTTTATTAATTAATTTTTTTAATAAATGAAATGATACTCTAAAGAAGAAACTAAAACTAGCAGCAGGTGGCGGTAAATGTCTTTTTGAGTCGATTCGTTCCAAAGGCTGATTCATTCAGGAATTCAGTAAATGGCTCTCTCTATGGGCTACTGAATCATTGATTCACACGATTCGTTCAAAACGTGGATTCATTCAGAAACTAAACACCGCTGTGTTCCTCGGAGACGCACAACAGTTCTGCTGTGGCTTTTTAGCCTTCTGATGCATGAATTATTAAATCACAAAGTAATATTTTTTTACATGTTTGTTATTACTTTTAAACAAGTGAAAAATCATGCCAAAAATTTTTTGTTAGTATATTATATTTTGAGGGAGTTACATATATGTCCACTGTTTCCACCATGCATCAAATGTATAAAAATTGAATCAATAGAACTAAATGTGTGGTCTTAAAAAACATGTTTTTAAAATATTTACTACGTGAAAATGGTTTGAATACACATAAGAACATTCAATAACAACAAGCTATGTCATGACGGCACAGAAACGTGAAGTGTAACAAACAAAACGTAAGAGTGTGTGTCTATGGGCCAGGGGTGTGTGGGGCAGGGTGTGGGGGGGTAGTGGGCTTTTCATAGACATGTGAGCACAAATACAAACACACACAAGCACACACACCCTCCCACCACACACTCGAACACAATCATGCACACATATATATGCACTCATACAGTATACATGTACACATGCCTACAGTTTTATATAACCTAATAAATAAATATAGACTGTAAGCATTGAAATAAATGCTATAATCTGAAGACTATTTAATATTTCTGTTCAATAAAACCATTCAAGTGTAAATTATATCATAATTTTAATAAAACATACAAATAAGGCAGAACCTATATAAAGGCCCATAAGTAGAATTATACCCTTTGGTGCATGACGTCTATTGTAGTGGACAGATATATTTTCTGACACAGAAAAAAATGTACAAGAAAAATATAGTTACAATCTGGATGAATCTATTTCTGACATCCTATTTAACTGAAAAATATTTTTTGAACCTGTCTGGTTTTCTGAGAATAAAAGTATTTAAAGGGGTCATAGGATGCTACATGCACTTTTACAAGTTGTTTGAACTGAAATGTGTGTTGGCAGTGTGTGTACACAACCACCCTATAGTGATAAAAATCCACCCAGTGTTTTTTTTTTAATCTGATTTCCCCTTTCTCAAATTGAGCCGGTCTCAGATGCCTGTCTGTGTGACATCACACAGACAGGTCCCTCCCACGATAGTTTGATTGACAGTAGCGTTTCAGCACAGACTGGACTGATGTCTTACCTCAGACCCGCCCTGAGTGAGCTGTCATCAGTCCGCCATTGTTTCACCGCCGGAGCAGATGTAGACAAGAATGACTCCTAAACGATTGAGGTGTTCTGCTGTTGGATGTAATAATGAACATAGCAGTCGTCATTTACTCCCGAC